TACAAAATGTATAATTCTTGTTATAATTAAAAAAAAAAAACTCATAATTGTCAAGATTTGTTATGTAAAATTTGGCACAATAACCTATTCTTTATGTGATTCAATATGCATGTGATACTCAATTTTATCTACTGATTTTTTGATAAGATCGAACAAATGAACATCGTGAATATCAAATTTTGCCTGAAGTTGTATTTTTTTAAATGGGACGCCCTGTATTTTTGGAGTTAAAGCATATTTCATATGTATGTCCTATACATAAAGTCAACTGTTTCGGAAATATTGACCGTTGAATCTTGAAATGTTCGCAACCTTGATAGGCTGTAAAACCTTATGGTTAATTTTAGAGCAAAACTGATTTTAGATTCTTGTTTGTCTCAGTTTTTCATAAGCTATTATTTGACACCAATAAAAACTTCACCTGCTTCCAACTAAGGCTGCTTGCAGGTGGGGGATCACCTAAGAATAAGTGGGTAAAATCAAGCATTTCATGAAGATATTGAGGTGCCACTACCGAGACTTTGATTCACAAAATTGCATTTACTATTCATTTTCAAAAGAGCCTTGTTCATAAAATTTAGTTGGAAAAATCCAATTTTTATATTATTTGCTGTCCAACAAAACAATCAAAACTGCAAAAAATAGCATCAATAATTTTCCAAGGATATTGAATGCACATATTAGATTACAGGTCACTAGCAAAATGGGCTCTTTCACTATTTTTCGAAATTGGCATAATTGGATAAAGCAACTAAAAATGGAATTTTCTGCACCCTTACTTTTAAAAAACTAAAGTCCTTTTTGAGAAAATAAATAGAAAAGAAAACTCTCTAAATAAAAAAACACTCACTCTATTATCTTAATAGGTACGTCACAAGTGACAATTTCACATTATTGCCAGTAATTGTCAGCATTAAAAACTCGTAATTGTTTCAGATTTAAATTACCTAATTAGTTATGGATTCAAGATTTTTTATTTATTTTTTGTTAGTTATTATTATAGGTAGTCACTTTGAATTTATTTTTTTCTGTTATTTTTATTTATTTATTTTTTTCTCACAGCGCACTACATCTAGTCACAACCGCAACAGCTGTTTGCGTCTTGACGCGGAGCACCTCTCTATACAGTTGATTCGAACTATTTTCAATACGTCATCGTCTGGCGCGTTTTGATTATTTTAAATTTGTCTATTTCCCGTGCCTGTAGCAAACTTATTTAACCTCATATATATTTTTTCTTATTGGAAATAAACTTAAAATTGTCCCTCATCAAGGATTTTAATTTTAGTGAAAGAGCCCATTGTAAATATTTCTCTCATAAGTTAAAATTACAGGGCATCGCGAAACAGCCGCTAGGAACTGCGTTTAGATTAAAGCCCTGGTGAGCATTTTCAACTAGTCATTTTTATATATCCCCGGCATCAAATTTGTCTGTTCAAACCAAATCCTTATCACATTTTTGGTCAATTAACCGCGGAATGAAAGATCACATACAAAGCCAAGTTTCAATACCATATACCTTGATTTAATACAAAATCTCATACATCAATGCTAATAACCTGAACAAACTAATAGAAAACACATAAATAAATTGGCTAATCTTCAAATAGGCCAAGTTTATGGAAACATAAAAATAAAATTTCTTCATATCAATAGATTAACCAATAATGTCGCTTCTAAACGGTTCAATTTTCTCAGACTAATTAACTAAGCACAGAAAAATTAAGGACCTTTATGAACTACCTACCTATACTAACTTATGAATTATGTTTAGACTTAATTTAGGTATCATTATAAACTAATTTTAAAACTAGCCTGGATTTGAAATGGCATATGAATTAAAATAGTCTAAGAAGGTCCACACGTTAATTGGTGATGGTCCATATTGTTTCCTATTGAAAAATGTATGAACCTTCACCAAATATACAACGTCACACAACAATGCAGTAGAGCCAAACAATTGCAGACTGAATATTCATGAAATATATGTACAGGGTGACAAAACTTCGTACCCCCTCAATATCTCCGAGACCAAATTTGTTTATGAAAAACGCAATTGCGCCTCATTATCAGATCTTGTGTGCACTGATATCTATGGTTAATATTTAAACATAAATTGTTGCACTGGGCCTATTAAAAACAAAAAAAGTCGCGTGCAGCACAGTACACGTGATAGAAGTGAATACTTATTTATCGATTCGTTGAGGGTGAGTGAGTGAGTGAGAGAGAGAGAAAGAGAGATCTATTGTACATATTACAGGTATATCGAAATTCACCATCTCTTTCTCTCTCTTTCCCTCATATTCATCATATGCTTCATCTCACTTTCGAGACGAAAATTTTATAAATCGTGTCGTGACGCGACCTTGAAAAATCACTCTCATGCGGCCAAAGAAGTATTCACTTCAATATATAAAAGATTAGAAAATACATTACCTCTAAAAAATTCAGATCAAAAAGTAATATTATAGAAAAAGATCGTACTTGATTTGTATTTATTACTTTTCAAGCATTGCCAGAATTTCAAAAGTAGCCTTATTTTTCTGATATTACTTTTAAAAAAAAAACTTAAAATTGCGTCTTTTTAAGCAAAAATGTTCAAATGATCTTGTTTAGTATTAATAACCTTCGTTTTAAGGGCTTTGTACATAATTAGTGATCATCAAAAACATTCAATTTATTTATTTTTTAGAAATAATAATTTTTGCATAGCGTGGGGCACATGTACCCAATGACGTACCCCTCGTGGGAATCTATGGCTACTCTATCAAGTAGTTACCTTGCAGGAAATTGGCAGGTTGGAAATAGATTTCCAACCTGAAAAATTTAGAAATCACGATAATAAAGCTGTCAAGAAATATCTGTGGAGCAGGAAGAGAACAAAAGTTTACGGGAAGTAGAAGTCGGAAATCTGATTTATTAATCGAAAGATAGTACGCAAGGGTCGAAAATGCCATTTCCTAAGTATTTTTTTCTCTAACTGTACCCTTGTTATAGGTTAATTTTATCTATTATAACTGTTTAGTATAAATAAAAACATCTTCAATTATCAAAAGTATCATTTTCATCATGGGGTGCGAATGTAGCCCAAGTGGGAATCTACATATATTTTTTCGTCATGGGAAGACGAAAGTCTTAGTTTTTGAACTTTTTATCTTTAATAAGTAAATAAAAGTGTGAAAATGGCTTAAGGTGGGTATTATAAATTTGGTCTCAGAGATATTGGGGAGGGAAAGTTTTCAAAGTGTTAACCAAGTGAAAATGTGTTCGCTGCTTTATTATTTTGCATAGAATCCACACAAAAAAAGAAAACAGGTTCATTGTTACAAAAAAATTTCAAGTTTGTGTTGCTATAATTATCTGGAAAATTCTGTATTTAATCTAGCCCGGAAACATGCAATTTTTTCTAATAAACTTGGCTTACATCATTATCAGACTGTACCAATCAAATAATTAAATAATATAGTGATGTTAATGAAGAGTAAGGGCAAAACTCCCACAGAAATCCTAGACAACTTTGATTGTTTTCAGCCAAGAGATTGTGATTTCTGCAAAACTGAGAAGTTTACAACAACCGTCACAATAGTATAACATTTATTCCTTATTCAAATTAATTTTGAGTCTTATCAAATATTTGGAAGTGTACAATTACTAAAAATCGAGCAATGCACAATATTTGTATGGCATGAAATAACTAAGGACCCTACTATAAAAAAGGCTACTGCTAAAAAAAACTACAGCAATGGACCAGACCTAGAATTTTTCTGATAGGACATGTGATCTACATATTTCAATTTACTTATTAATAACTATTTAACTTTGAGGTGAAATATATGTTCTTTATACATCAATATTATTACACTAATATTTGCAAATTTTTCCTAAAATCCAATCATCAATAACCAGAAAGGATGTGAAACTCCTAAACAAAAATGTCAATTCTACATTTCGCAATCATAATCTGAACACTTGAAAAATTGTAGAATACATTACATACTTTGAATTTCTAATAATTTAATGTGCAAAATAATTACCAAGCTGCTTATGAGTAGTCCATGTTAGCAACTTTCTGTATTTATTCCCTAGACAAAAAAAAATACGTGAGAAAGAACAATTTAATCAGTTTTCTTAGGATTCGCAAAGAAATTATTGTTTGTGAGCAGCCACATGAAGTAAATTTCCATATAAATTATTAAAAACCACAACATTTCAGATATTCCAGGCCAACAAGTCAATTTTGGCAGTTTATACCACAATGGAATCTAATTATGCATGAAAATATCTTTAATAATGCGGCGAAAGTTGCACAATTATAAACCAAGTTCTTAAAAAAATTACTCAAAATTTCTTTATTTGCAATTCCAATACAGGTTTTTGAAATAATATTTAAAAGCATTTTCAACTTTGTGCCAAAGTTTTAAAACGTTCGTTTTGAACTCTTCTAATGATCGGTCTACTAGGTCTGGCCAAAACCTTACTATTAAAGGATAATAGAAATTCTAAAAATTTAATACAGTTTTTGTGACACGAACTGAGATGAATTGAACACAAAAGTATTTGCTATTGGTAAACCAACACAATTTCATTGGGGTATGCTTGGAGGTAGTTCATAAAAAATCCCTTAACATATGGCAGCCCTTTGGTTTTTGAAAAAGCGAAAAGCTTGGAGAAAATATTAGCAAATCAAAAAAAAAAAAAATCCTGGAATTTTATAAAAACTAAAAAAAAATCATTGTAAAATAGTCACCAAACTAATCAGCATTTCTTTATAAGCTGACTAGTTAATTATTTGCAGGCTTATAATGGAATGTCTGGAAAAAGGAAAAAAAAAATGTTACCTTTGACCTAGCATGTCGCCTTCTAATTGGCTCTTGCTCCGTTTCAAAATAATAATTTGGTTGCTAGGTACACGCATTTTATACTTCTTCATTTTCCAACGCCAAAGGCTCACCGATAATAATTATAAAATAATACAAGCAATAAAAATGAGATTAGTTTCCTTAACACTCGGTATCACTTTCCAAATTCAATGAATCCACACTGTCATTGGATGAGACGCTACTTCTGAAATGGGCAAATCGCCCCAAATTCAAATCTTGATCGGGACTGGGTAGTACTCTGGTCACTTTGAATCTAGATTTGGCAGCACGAATTGGCTTAGGTGGTTCGACTTTCTCGTTTTCTTTTATTTTCACTATTTGGAAACGGCTTCTGGGCGCTGGACTTGGGGATGGCGCTGGCGATGGTGAAGGGGAACCAATCTAAGAAACAGGAAAATTATGTTTCTGTGTTTGAATAGAAGCTAAATTTTTTTATTGATAATGTAGTTCATTAATTGTTTGGTCTATTTTGCGGAGTCTATTTTGTGAAATAATACGGAAAAGAGTTTAGTTGTTTAACAGTTGAAATCTATAAGTTATTGAAGGTATCGCAGTTGTGTCCAAAGTTTTTCTCAAAAATTCATGAATATAAACATCTGTTTTGATCGCGATGAAGTGCCAGATTGCGGCATTATATTATTAGATAGTCATGAAGTGCGAGGTGTGGAGGAGAAAACTAATGAAATTTATCCCTATGTGATGGATGAAACACGGATTATGCAAGGCATGTGAAGGATTGACTTTTTTGGAAGTCAAAGTGCTCCCAGCTCAGCTGAAAAAACCTATGATCTTATCCCATTATGAAAAATGCAGGAAGATTGATATATTCACACTACTTCAAAACATAATAATTATTGATAATAAATCAAGTATTATTGCTAGCAAAGAAGGGGCTGGGCAGATACTTAATTACCTGATTTTAATTATAATGTCCAAATAGGAAAACAGCGAGTCAAAGTAATGACATATAAAAGTGACCTGGGACAAAAAAGAGTGCAAAACCAGTTTATTGCTTTATACGAAAAAGCCCAAAAACCAACTTAGCATAAATGTTGCTCCCCAAAATTATATTGTTACGAAATAACATTGCGTAACTATGAACGATGGGTGTGGTAAAATTCAGGAATTTGTCCCTCGAGAAAACAAAGATTTACCAGAATTCTAGATTGATTTGCGAGTTAATTGATGGGTAAGCGCGTAGTTTTGTAAGTTGCAGTTAGTGTAAACAATGGAATGGTTGTATAAAGTTTAGTAAAAACGATAAGAGCTTAGTGAATTTTGTAAAGTCAAATATTTCAATAAAAGTTGTTGATGTAGTGAAGAGAGTTTTAGTGGATCCGCGGAATTCGTGAAAATTTGATGTCAGAAGTGAGATAAATTTAGCGATACATTTGGTGTATTGATTTGAGCTAAAAAAGTTAGTCGAGCTAATTGGCGAAATAAATATGAGCTGATTAGAGGAAACATTAAGTAAAACTTTTGTCAAGCTGAAACAGTGACTCTATTACTGGATTTGATTTAACACCACAAAACGGATCTTCTGAGAAGTTCCGCAACATTATAGTGTTTTGTTTGCAAACCGCAAGTGTTACAAGAATCGTAACTTTATGACTGGGTTTGACACCAGAAAAACAGGCCAAAAACGAGTATTTCGAAAATTTCCACAATATTCTATAAGATTTTGTTTGGAAACCCCCTCGGAAACCCCATTTGACTCCAGAACTTTATTACTGGTTTTGAAATCGAAAAGCAAGACCACATAGTGATTTTTATAGAACTTCCCATTGTTTTTTATTTGAAAATAAGACAAGGTATAGAAAAAAGATCAGAGTATTGTGGTGTGTTCGCCAGCATGAACAGAATCTAACTTGGAATCTAGAAAATACTGATCTATTCGGGCAAATATAGATTATCGCGTTTATTCTAGATTCTACACGAATAGATTGCGGATATATAAAGGCCGGTATTAGTTAGTAGTTTTTAAGTTGTAAGATTGACTGTGATACGATTTAGATAGTGAATTTTGTAAGAGTTGTAAAGGGTTCAGTTGTTTGAGTTAATTAGTGAAGTAATTAGTGTCAGAGTGTGCAGTAACGTGGAATAAATTATTGTTCTGTTGAGTGGACTTTGATTTTGGAATAAACGAACCCAAGATTTCTGTGACACAAGCCAGAGTCGTGACAGTATTTTATACACACGGCAGCACAAAACACGCAGAGAAAACGAGAACGCCCAACAACAGAAAGAAAAACAAGAAGCGCAGGGCCGGCTTTTTTACAACAAGGAGGAGTGGAGATCGAAAGAAAAAAAATAATAAGCCCGAAGACATGGAGAATTTGACCGGCTAACAGTATTTTTAAAACAACAAGAAAATTGGAGATGGAAAGAAAGGCAGGAAAGACAGGACCAGCTCCAGGAAAATTATGAATTTCAGCGAGAATGGATAGAACAAGTACATGAAGAAGTTGAGAGTTTCCATCAGGATGTTGGAACTGATCGTGAGGAAAATGGAACTATCTGCCAAAAAATTGATAGTGTTAAAAACAATATTAAATCATGGGCAATGTACAGGCTCAGTTGGAGACTGTTGCAATGACTAATGGTTGGAGCTCGAATGATATGGCTACAGGCTTGATTGTAGCATTGAGTGTGCCTGCCTATGGGAGACTCTTACGTCAGCTTCCCAGACAGAAAGCCGTCGAGAGTTTTAAAGAATTTGAAGCGGATGTCCGCCGTCTGGTTATTTGGCCTACCCGGAAGAAACAGCAGAAATGCCAGCCCAACTAGCGGCCGAAAATTTTCATCAATGGAATTAGAGACATTGGTGTACAGAGAAATGCTGCTCATAGAAAACGACGCGGCCTATGTAAGACATCCAAATCAATGATTAGAGCTGAGCTCAAGAATAAAAAAGAACAATTGAAGACACAATGAAGGAACTTCTGGAATAGCTTTTCACCAGAAATAATCACGGGAACTCGAAAAAGGGCACGGAATGTTATCGCTGCGGAAGAAGAAGAGGATATTTTAAATGTGACTTCGCAACTGTACAATTTTCAAATCAAACATGGTTCCGGCAAATCATATAACTACAACAGAGATGCCTTATCCAGATGACCATGCCTGACACCAAACCATTTTTAAATCTAAAGAAAACCTGTAATAGATCGCCAACAAACTGGAGCAAAAAAACCGCTACTGCCCGCGGTTTTATTGTGTGCATTAAAATAAGCAAGAATTCATGGGAATCGTAAGTTTAGTTGTAACGGGTGTTCAATAATTATTTCGTTCAGGTCGTCTATGGATGGTTATTGTCACATGTCTTGGCTAACATTACAAAAATTATAACATGACAATTCTGGTGACAGCCGTCAGAGAGATTGGGGGCAAGCCATATTCGAAAGCTAACAACCTACGTTCATGATAGAAAAAGAGAACTTCGGCCAACTACAACTGTAATAATTATTGAACACCAGTTATAAAGTGGAGTGAAAGCGATAAGTGAATGTTGTCAAGTCAATTAGTTGTTGCTGTTAGTGAAGAGAATTTTAGTGGACCAGCGTAATTCGAGAAAATATATTGACTAGAGTCTTGATGTGGGCGAAATTTTTATGTGTCATACGATTATCTCTCACTCCTTTGTACTCTGGAAAAATCTTATAGGTTCGGTCACTTTGTTGTCTATCAACTTACTATTACATGCATAAAATCAGCAAACAGTCATTTATAAACCACAATTATGGAACTAGAATCAATTTGGATAAAAATTTTGAAATAGGTACCACTCAATAGTAATTTGAATAATCTAAGCAATCAACAATAGCAAACAAAAATTACCTGGAATGACCTGCTAGGCTCTGGTGCTTCATATTTCGGATCACAACTTAGTGAAAGTTTCCGGGAATTTTTTTGGGAAATGTTTTGGACCTCCTCATCATCGCTACTATCATCTGCAAAGGTCTGGTTTACAGTACATATAGCGTTTAGTTTTTTAACAAATTGTGAATATGCTTCAGGATCCTGAAAAAGACGTTCAATTTTCAAAGATCATATCTTTTTACAATATATGAAGTGTATACTTACACTGCAAGAACGATTAAGTTCATCAATTTTAATTTTAACAATTTTTGAATTGGTCAAAGCATTACATAAACTTTCAATACCCAAAATTCGTATGGCTTTGTTGCCTTTCAAATTAATTTTCTGGAAATAATATATTTTATAAACAAACAAAAAATCAGTTTATAGATTAACCTACTTGTAATGAAGAATTTCTCGGAATTGCCTTGGACAGGGCCAAAATGCCTTTGCAAGTTAAAAGAGTACATTGCAGACCCAATCCTTGTAAAGATTGTGTGTATGGCAATCCGTCACTTATATGATAGAGAACATCATCTGTCAAGTTGTTATATCCTATGTTTAATGTGTGAAGATTCTTGCATTCAATCTAAAATAACAACTATTTTCAATTTTGAATTTATTTAGTGGTGCTAAAACTTCTACTAAAGGTGAGGGCGCATTATTTTTTTATATCTCTGGTTGAGATAGGAAGCTGTGTTTCAACTCCACCATTTGTGATTCCTGACCTTTTGCTAATTCTTTTATGTCTATAACTTCTGATTTGGAATAATGCCATTAATTATTATAATACACCTTTTCACTAACTGGGCGCAACTGGATGGCATTTATTTATTGATGTGGGTTCCTAACCACGGACAATGTTCACTTCTGTCCCTTTATACTGGCAGCAAAAAATTGTGATCGTAAACCATTAGCCTCAAGGTTATCCCTCCAGCTTTGTTCTATAGATCTTCTGATCACCGCATTTGCGATCTTCCTCTGTTTCACGCATGATTTCATCTGGTCTCCAATGTATTATAATTATTTTATGCACGAACGGGCGTAAAAGTGCACTTACCGTGCCCCCCGCCAAGTTCGCGCACTGCCGTATACCTTTTCTCGAAACATTTCAGGTCATTTTCGACCTACCTGTAACTCAGCTCTGAAGTGTCCTAGAAAATTGAAATTTTGCACAGTCGTGGATCTTTATAGACCTAATACTAAAACTAAATTTCATCGATTTCCATCAACCAACAAAAAAGTTAAATGGCCTTAAAAAACGCCAATTTTGTCACTCACTCATGTATAGATTATCAAAATTCTATGGTACTTCCAAACATGCTAGAAGGCTGAAAGTTGGCATACTGATCTGAATTATGGCAAAACCCATGGAAAAGAAAACAAAAACCCTGAAAATTTGACCAGCCTCCACAGCTATCGTTAAACATAAGAGCCTGGGGAATAGACAGACAGAGTCTCACCGTAATTCGTGATAAGGGCTAGTCTTTGTATGTTGGTATTTTAAACGAAATTAGAGCTAATCCAAAATAACCTGTTCTCGTAATAATCCTAAAAAAAAAACTAAAAATCCTTAGAAAAAAAGCAAAACTTAAAAATAAATTGTATTGCCAAACAGAGCTAATCCAAACTAACCCGTCCTATTAATATTCTTTAAAAGAAAAATAAAAACCTTAAGAAAAAACAAAACTTGAAAAAAAAAAAATAATGTTTTGCTTTCAACGAGAATCGAACCTGGGACCATTTGCTCCAAAAACAGTGCATATTTGCAAGCTATGTGTGCGTATTTTAGCCGATCCTAAACGAACAACAAACCCATTAAAATTGGTGTAACATTTTGGTGAATTTAGCCATACGCGGAATATCGTTCTGCATCCTTCGTAGCTCCGTATGCCTGCTCCCCAGACTCTTCTCCTAAATACACAGTATGTGTAAGTAGCATTCAATGCTCGAAGCTCTTCCTAGTCCATATTGTTGAACTCATCGCTTTAGATAACTTGAACTTTCCAAAATTTCTTCTAAAAAGAGCCCGTGAAGCGCTTAAAAAACATAAAGATGATGACTTAATGACAGCGGGATTAGAATAAAGTATTGTAATCAAAGAAGGAGTAAGAATTATGTTAAAGCCAAATATAGATGATAGTTTGGGTCTGGTAAATGGTTCTATAGGAGTTATTCAAAAAGTGAAATGGCATGCGGATCAGAATAAAAAAGTCAAAGCTCTTGAAACAAAATTTAACAATGGACTTCAATATGAAATTTCTCCAGTCAAAACAAAATTTGATATTATTAGTCGTGCATACATTCACAGAGAACAATTTCCATTTGTATATTGCATATGCTATCACCATTTTCAAAAGCCAAGGCTTAAGTCTTCCTTATGCACTTATTGATATAAGTTTATCGGTGTTTTCATGCGGCCAGGCATATGTAGCGATTTCCAGAGTTTCAAGTTCAGAAGGAGTTCCTCTAATAAACTTAGATACTAATAACATTAAAGCGCAATTGCTGAATACAACCGATTAAGCTCATTATATCGTCCTGAACTTCCGCGAATTGAAGCTCAAAAAGTTTCAAACTTGGCGAGTACCTACAGTCAAAATACCCATTGACTATTCTAAAAAAGTTCCTTTCTATTAAATTTAATTGTTATTGCTCATTAACTTATTTCATTTATCATGTATTTACCTACATAATATAAAGTTTAGTAAAGTTTTCCAAAGTAATGATCCTCTTTAAATTATTTAATTAATATAAATCTTAAAAGTGGCTCCACACATCAACAATTTATCTAGTGGCAACTATAAGCAGATCAACTATAATCATAGACACGGAGTACATATATCATAACAAAAACATCTCATGTTTATGTAAGAGAATGGCCAAGTACGCGAAAATGCCAATACAGCTAAATTCAAACCCAATTTAAAACAATAACCCTTTCAATGGGTATTTTGACTGTAGGTACTCGCCAAGTTTGAAAAATTTTAGAATAAATAAACCCACCATTTTATGTTCGAATGCGTATTAAAGCACTTGGCTTGACTTTGATTTCACTTCTTTTTGGGGATAAGTATTTTCGCGTACTTGGCCATTTTTTTACATGAAATGTTTTTGCTATGATATGATTATTCCGGAAGTTATACAAATATTAAGTTTTGTATATATAGCTATACTGAGCATGTGCGACGTCACTAATTTATATGATAAGTGACGTCATAGGCATATTTCATAGCGTTGTATCTCCGTCAATTTTTGACTAAAAAGAAAAAAAAACACGTGTTGATTTATTTTTCATGGACTATCGAAATCAGCAATAAAAAAAAATTGATTATGCAAGGGGCCTATTCTTTAAAATCATGGTTTTTGACAACATGCACTATTGCTTCTTTGTTTCCCTAAATAAACTTTTAATGAACGAACTCTGAAAAGCGCCACATAAAGTTGTCCGTGACTAAATACATCCTTTCTGGAGATCAAATAGAAAGCCTAACAGATTATCCCCAAGTTCCAGAACTAATAGCCTTTTACCATTGCAAAGACAAGCATAACAATAGAATTCGTTCTCAATCGTTATTCATGGGGCGGGAAGTTCGGCGGTTGTCGTTGGAATCATTTAGTGTTCGTTATCGCATAAAAGTGGCTCAATTTCAGCAATAACATGCCTTATATTGACCTTTAAGGCGGCAACCGTTCGAGGTTTGTCAATATAGACTTTGGATTTTAGAAAGCCCAGAGAAAAAAATCCAGTGACGTTAGGTCGGCCAATTATTGTGGATTCTGAAGGACGATCGTTGACATCATAAATTGCACGAAGTGCACGAAACGTTTTCCGAATAGAACATTGGTTTTGATAATGATAATAATTTTTAACAATTTCGACGCGTTGCTCAATCGTGTAGCGCTCCATAATAAAATGCAGAGACTAACTGAATAAGGCTGCCAAAGATAGCACCTGTGTGACTATCGAGTTTTTTATGGGCTATTATCAAACATCGAGCGTTATTATTGGAAAACCCTATACATACCTAGATTCTTCTATTGGACCTCGAAAAAATAATAAACCACTTCCTTGCTTTCAAAAACAACCATCTACAGAGCAATATCTAATAGCACAGCTAATAGGCATATTGTCAGATATTTGTCACGTAAATAAAAAGTTCACAGGCCTTCACAAAGATGCAACCGAGGAGAACATTGAAAATGCCGAAGCAAACTTCAACTCTAATGCTTGTTATTATTGTGAGCTTTGAGATCAGCGAAAATTCAACCCTTCCCAGATTTTCCAGAATTTTTCCGCCCCAATCCAGATGTCCATGCGTTTTCCAGACATTTCCAGAAATTTCCAGACTTCATCCAGACTTTTCCAGACTTAGCCAGAGTTTTCCAGACTTTATAAAGACCTTTCCAGACTTATCCAGACTTTATCCAGACTTGTCTAGATTTCTCCAGACCTTATAGAGCCTTTTCCAGACGTTTCCAGAAATTTCCAGGCTTTTCCAGACTTTTCCAGACTTTATCCAGACTTGTCTAGATTTCTCCAGACCTTATCCAGCCCTTTCCTGACCTCTCCGGCTTCTTCCAAACACTTACCCGACTTCAATTATGTATAAGTAATTGCCTATCTATGAGTCACCACTTAATGTTACAAAAGCGGTGACAACCTTGAACTAACATCTCGATTTTATATTCAGATCCAAATACTTCTCTTCAGGTCTGCTAGTTTGATGTTTAGCATTTGTTGATGGCTGTTTATGTTAAAGCATTTTTTCGATATGTTTCTTTGTAGAGATCCATGCTTGTCAGCTGAATGTAAGAACTGGGAGTATATATAATGATTGAGGACTCTTGTTCCTAGATGGGGTGTTTTTAATTCTTTATTATTTTATTTCTTACCTGTTCAACCACATGAAGTTACTGATGCCCTTTAAGAAGTTAAGAATTGAAAGTATAAGAGAGTTGATAAGATCTCGGCAGAGGATTCCTCGAGACTCTTGGTCCTTCGTGCTTAAAATATACTATTCAAATTTCTTTTCACAAAGGAGATTGCTGCTATTGATGCAATCAATGCAATCAATCTCATTGTTATCCACCCTATCAAATGTCGTTGAAATTGAAATTTGGAACTTCTTTCAGTTTGGATTTCAGAATTCTTTGGGAACCCATAATGACCTCTTCAATTTTTTGAAGAAGAAAAATCATTGTTTTTTTTATGGTGTTCTGCTCACAAAAGACAAAGTCTCTACTACCTACGCGCTACCGTGAGCGGGGTGAAGTAGGCGACAATTAACACTCTGTTTGAATAAGTTAAGGTTAAATCGTTCGGCGTTGATCAATACTGCTGTTAATGCTTGAGCATGGAATGGAGCTATGGCTCTGCTCATGCTTGGTTCCGCTAATATTCGAGTGGCCAGAAGCAATCTGTGGTTGTCTCCGGAGCTAAGTTGGTGGCGAACATTGAATGCGGGGTTCCTCAGAGGTCAGTACTGGCGCATTGACTCCATTCTGGTAGAATATGTGAATCATCTTGTTTATCCCAAAATTACGCATTTTTCTTCTATTGTATTGCATAATAAATCACCAACCTTCCTTAGGAAAGACATATCTAATGACTTACTGTTTACTTTGCCTTGTTTAAGACTCATCTTAAATATGGCATTCCAGTCTGGGGTCTTGTTGGTCAATAACCGTAGAAAAAGGCAGTTCATTCAATGTTCATCAAGGAGAAACGTATAGTGATCCGTTTTCACAAAATTCTAACCGTTACATCGCTGTTTATTCTTGAGGCGTGCAGTGTTGTTTATAAAAGCCAAAGCTAACAATTTATCACATTTTATTATTTTTATGGATATTTTTTCCAATTGCTTTATTTACTGCTGTATATTTTGCTATTGTCCCCTTCTTTTGTTCTAGTAATGTTCTTATTTCACTGGTCGGTTCTTTTCTATAATTGTCCTTCTCTGTGCTACTTTTATTCTCGCTTTCACTAATGTACCTCTATTAGAGTTAATAGCACATGTATTTATTTCAACGATGTGCTTATATTCTAAAGCCCTTGTATCGGTATCCCTTTGTCAATTTTCTTTCCCCTTATAACTATGTTATTCTTGTTTGCATTATTGCGATTCTCGGTATTTAATTTATTTTATCATTTTGCTGTATCTGGTTAATTCAAAATAATTTTAGTAGGAATAAAGTAAAAATCAACTTACAATCAAATTCTTGATAACCGCGCCGCTTCTCTCAGTAATTTGGTTGTTGAAAATAACCAAAACTGACAAACCAGTACCCAGATTTGTTTGACAGCACAATCCTTTGGCAAGCATTTCCAGTCCACGGTCCCCTAAATTATTATTGCTGATATCTAGTACTTTCAGGTGCATATTGTTTACAAGGAACCTTTGAAGAGCTTCTGCTTCTCGAGTATACAGACCTGTAGATGGTAAGTAAAGTTCCCTTATTGTCCTGTTGGTCATAAGGGCTTCCACTAAAATAAAAAGATTAATGAAATAAAATAACTTATATCTACTAACAATGAAGTTCAGCTTAACGATTCAAAAGCAAAGATATGAATATTTAAAAAAGAATAACGAGACTTCAAGAACTAGAACACCTACTAAATTCCGAATGATTAAATACAGTCAATAACCTCGTGCTATTATTTTATTTTATTAAAGACCAGCTTTGATTTATGTTTTGTATGACCTACCTGTGTAATTTTACAATCGTCGTTTTATTATGTGTCCTTTGTATTGTCGACTTGTCGGTGTTTTTAATATTGTTTTACAGGTCAGCATTATATGTTTTAGATATTTTTTTTTAGTTTTAAGTTCTGCTTTGTGAATGAGATGTTTTAATCTTTTTTTTATGACAATAAAGCTGTTTTTGAGTTTGAGTTAGAGAATGCATTAATTTCTAAATCATCGCAGTGATTAAAAAGGGTCATAAAAAGAACCATTTTTAGTAATATTAGTAGATTATTTGATCCATCAAGGATAGCTGTCCGGTTCTTGTTCAAGCCAAGCTTACTTTGCAATATTCATGGAAATTATCGTTTTCTTGGGAAGAGACTGTAACTCCTGATATTCAAAATTGGTTGTGAAGATTTGTCTAGTAAATATCGAAATATCTAGACAGGCCATTCTTGAAAATACTATGCAAGTAAAAATTCAGGGTTTTTGTTATAGTAGCGAAAAATCGTATGGTTATGCTTCGGTAAGCTGATTCTTTGGGAAATTGCATAGTCTCGCTATTATGCGTAAGACGTATAGGCTCGCATTGCTCCTCTGACGATACAAAAATTGCCAACGCACGGGAGTAGTCAAAACACTAGAGATAGATCCATCCGAGTCCATCATATTTTACTGGGCAGACTCGATTATTGTTTTTAGGTGGTTGCACTATGAACTTTCAGATTTAAAATGTATTGTTGCAAATCATATTACTGAGGTTCAGCAGTTGACCAAAATAAAGCCCATGATAATCCCGCGGACATTATTTCCAAAGGGGCTATAAAACTATCGGAACTTTATTGTTAATGTGTTATTTGAGCTCCAGATTATGAATTTCTAGATAAGATTTGCAGTAATTTATGGTCACCACTATTTTCGAAAAGTTTCTTTCTGGCACTAATCGCTTCTTCCGACAACGCGTTCCACTGATATACAATTCGATTGTTAAGAAATGTTTTCTTGGGAGCTTAGATGTTTTCTCTGTTCTTAGATTTCATCAGTAACATGGCTCGGCAACGAAAATAGACTTCGATGGGTCCCAGCTCTAAGATTAAGTAGTGTCAAAGTGAAATTGAGGTACAGTGAAACATCTCGGATATCAGATACTCGGCAGAGTAAACCAACCAAATTGCACAAATCACCAGGAGGATTGAGTTACCATGCCTTGCGAGAATGAGAATTAATCTTAGACAGAAATTAGGAAATAAAGAACTAAGATAATAACGAGACTAACAGTCATCATAACGCAAGAAGCACATTTGAAAGAGCTACAATAGTGGGACATATGTAAATGAGCGGACTGCAATAAGCTATTTTAGCAATTTTGGATTTTTTTTTAATTTTAATAATTTATTTTTTAGTAAAAATTTTGGATTAATTTTCTTTGCTATTCCATCCACAGACGCGTTTCGACCTATCAGGTCTCGTCAGTGTGGCTAGGAAAAAAAAGAAAGCCTATCCAAGTTTAGTGCCTGCAGGTAAAGTAGAAGTTAATACGACGAGCGAAATTTGATTTATTAGATGGATGATATATATTAACCCTTTTCACGTGGGTCCGGTTTAACAAACCGCAACATACCGCTCTAATTCGAGTGGTAGGTATCCATCACGTCAGTTTGTAACCGGGTTAGAAAACGGTATGTCATATCTCTAACCGTTTTGTAACCCGGTTAGTTAAACCGGAGCCACGTGAAAAGAACTATTGAAGAATAATAAACATTTTTTATCTATGTAAGGTTTGAATCGTTCTGCCTGTTGTGTGCATGATGGCAATGCAACGAAATGAATAGGACTCACCTAAATAAAATGATGGTAATTTGACTAGCATACAGCTATCAAATCTTAGCTTGGTAATATTAGAATTATTCTTGATTGTGTTCATGAGATGTCGCATGTAATGCTCGTTTATAACCAATCCTTTGAAAGACAAAGATTCCAGAACCATAATGTTACTGCAAGCCATACAAAAATATCTCCAAGTGTCGTCATCTTCAAAACTCATAGCTATCTCAAAATGGCAAACAGACTTGTAATATTCTAGGATATTTAAAAATTCTGTCATGGTTTCACTGGTGAATTGACATTCTTGTAAAATTAAAGTATGGAAATTTGTTACTTTCAATATATCCTCTAATGTTTCATTTACATCTCGTGTTATTTTTATAGAGCTTAATTTCAATGTAGCAGAATGATTCGTATTATTTTTTATTTCCTGAATTTGAGATTTTATGGCGTCTAATTCAATTGTTTTATGTCTTTTACATGACTGCTGGTATATTTGTAAAATTTCTTCCGACGTCATAAAATCATCTGAAAATAATATATTGGTATGTACTTATTTTTTGTTTTTCCAATTAAAACTTACTTATTATCCATGGAGAAGAATATTCAGGTTCTTTATAACTCACTAATACTTTTTGTTCAGTAGGAAAAAACACATGTCTTGTTGGTGAAACATCTCCCTCGAGTGATGACTCAAATAATGAGGATTTTCTCAATATAGATTGTGGCGTGTCTGGTAAATTGCTATCCTTGCTTGAACTATTCTCCGATTCACTTTCTTCTAGAAAAGTAGCTGTGTAAGTACATATTTTGATGGTTACCAACTTCTAACAGTTGTTTTTCGAGTTTCTCTTCAATTAAGATGTGTTACTCAAGTGTTTAAACAGATGGTTACTGTCTAAAAATTGTAACAGTTCGGATTCCCTAATTAAACACCACAAAAGCCCAATAAAATAACATGTTTTAGTCACATCAACTGTGAATTCTTGAAGCTGTGTTTTAAATATATTTGAGGTTTGACAATTATTTTCTCTGATTTCTTGATTAAGCACCACAAAAGCCCAATAAAATAACATGATTTAGTCACACAAACTGTGAATTATTAAAGCTGTGTTTCAAATATATTTGAGATTTACAATTATTTGCTAAACTTACCAGAAATATTGATGACTTTGGGCTCGTCTTCTTCCTCAATAATACTAATATCAGCAATTTTCTTTTTTAACTCATTTAATGTATGCCGAGTAATTTTAAGTTTACTCTCACTAATTTTTTCTGGTCGTGCTTCCAAGCAGGTCTTATACACGTCAACGTGTGAATTATTTTCGTTTGCATCATCCTCATCATTTGATGTGACAGGAGTGTCACCATTAGATGATGGTGTTAAGTAGTCTAGGCCAACCTGAGTGGGTTCCAAAGGTGTACACAGTTCATCTTCATCAATTGAGAAGGACTTATCTATTAATGTCGTTGACAGTTTTGCTTTGGCGTTTAAGGTATCTAAAATAATGTTAGCGATAAATCAATTAGAATTTTTTTCCAGAAAAGTCACAGTACAAACACTGCCTTCACCTGACACTACGAGGTTGTTCCGTTTTAGAGCCAAGCTAAAATATTCAGTACGTGTGAATGTGTTTTGTAAGACATTGAACTAACAATCGAGAAACAGAAAATCGACACCTCACGAATTTGAGCAGAAAATTTTCAGTACATTCAACAGTTATAAATCGATCAAAATAAACTTAATAAGGATATAAATTGATACTGACTGGGCGAACTGTAATATAGACAGAATGTCTTACACATGCTAGCAATTCGGCTTTTAGAGGGTACTGTATTTTCAGGAAGCACGAAACAGAAATCTGTACCTTTGTCAATCACAAGGGCTGAATATATGACTGGCGTGTGTCTCTGATTTTCAACCCTAGAATAGGGGACAGTAGTACGTTCCTGATGAATAGTGATAGCGAGCAGCTTCTATTGTCGGAGGCAACGACGCAAGATTCACTTTTGTGTGATGGAATATTTAATCTGGTAGCTATTTCCACCGTACAAAACCACCAAAGATCTTTCGCCAGCCTCTGCAACTTCATCTTCTTTGGCATCTGGCTGGTTTAGTGAAAACTGTAATACCTTCAAGAGAATTTGGGTTTTTCTGTAAATGTTGCCCACTGAATGCGTGAAGAAAGAATAAATGTTCTGAGGAGAGACCCTTGTGTTTTAAGCAGTTTGATAAATACAATTTCCTGAAAAACTGTATCCATCAAACTGCTTGAAAGGGAAGTCTCTCTCAGAACATATATTCTTTTTTCAAGCATTCAGTGGATGTGACATGACTTTAGCGATTTTCTGTCAGGGAAAAACAAAATTTTCACACCTTTTACAGAAAAATCCTCTTGGTGTAGGTATCAAAACATTCACTAACCCAGCCATATGCCAAAGAAGATGATTATGATTTTTGGTGGTTTTGTATAATGATGGAAATAGTTCTACAGATAAGTTAGAAGAAGTAAGATACCACCCAAGTAGCACAAATGTGCTTATTACGATCATATACATTGCTATAAAACATCTTGCTATATAACTGCGAAATTTCTTAGTTGGGTTGTAGACGCTTATATGACGCCTATGAGTATGGAAAAGGCCCAGGTTTATAAAATATTATTATTGTTTTAAAGTTGTTTTAGGATCGCGAATAGCATTTACGAAATAATATGAAGTGCTTTATAAAATCGTTATGAAACAGTTTTATAAGAGGTTTATAAGTAGGAGATAAATTCACCTATATAGCAATTGTGTGTTTTGTGAACCTTAGTATAAATCAGCTTTATAAATATTATTTGGAAGTTATGTAGCTTCAGTTGGAATTACTAATAAAACATTTATAAAATAATGTTTTATACCATACTTAAAACTTAAAACAGTTCTAATAATAGCATTTTTGTAGTGAATAAAATAATTTTATCGTATTTTCATAATGCCGAATACAAAACTGATTTTTAAATGGTTGTCCAACCTTCTCTGCTTTTATGGATAACGAATATGGCGACATGTTGCTAGGGATGCATATATACATATTTGATTTATAACGTGTTATATAATGCAGTCCCATAAAACATTTGTATTTTATTATCTAAAATGACATAGCGTAAAACTATTATAATATTCCAGTCATTGCAATGTTGCCATGTCAAGAACAAACGTGTACCTTTATATATTTTCAATTTTGTATGGATGAAAATCAAAAGTTACTAGTAATTTTCGAACTTAATTTATAAAAAATTATACTTATCAAAAACTCGTGGCCGACATTGAATCAAAAAAATTGGAATTTAAAATTGGAAGAAAATAGTCATACTTGATTAGATTTTTTGGCCACACCGTAACAATTGAGAATAGCATCAACAGTGCTAATACCATTTCGAAACCCATATTGATTTTCTGATAAAATGTTATTCATTGATAAAAAATTCCAAAGCCTCTCCTTGAGGCATTTTTCAAATATTTTTGCAAAATTTGTGATAACACTGATAGGCCGATAATTTGTTATTTTTTTTTTGTCACCCGCTTTGAAAATGGGAGTAACAATAGAAGTTTTAAAACATTCGGGCACAGATCCTGTTGTAAATATTAGGTTTATTATATGTGCCAATGGGTCAATAAAATATTTATAATATCTTTTTATCATTTTAGTTTGTATTCCATCACAGCCAGGGGAACAATTATTTTTTAGGGAATTGATATGTTTAATTATTTCCATTTTATCAACAGGTTTTAAGAACATAGAGCTTAATGCGTTGTATTCTATTTGAGAAGCAACAGTCGGTGGTTTCACTTTATTGGCCATTTTTCTGCCTATGTCAATAAAAAAAACATTACAATATTCAGCCATTTGCCTTTCATCCACAAACAATTTGTCACTTTCATCCCTTATTTCTAATTTCTCAGAATATACCTTATTTTCATTTACTGCGTCTGATATTATATTATATATTTTTTTAAAATTATGTTGATTTGAATCTATTTGTGCTTTATAGTAATTAAATTTCTGTTTATTAATAATTTTGTTCAGATTATTTCTATAATTAATGTAATCCTCTTTAGCTTGCGGACTGTTCTTGTTTAAGAGTATTGAACGGAACTAGCCACAAGATGGTCGTATCATCTGTAAAAATGGTAAAACGGCCTCGAATATCTAGTCTAGCCAAGTCATTCAAGTACAATAGAAAAAGAACTGGGCCAAGAACCGAACCCTGGGGAACACCGTGTCTCATTGACAGTTCATCTGAGCTACCATCCTCAGAACAAACCACCTGTTTCCTACCTGACAAATAAGACGAAAACCAGTCATACGCCACTCCCCTGAAACCATACTGATGCATTTTCTCCAGCAGTATTCTGTGATTTACGCAATCAAATGCTTTCGAAAAATCACAGAAAACCGCTGCAGCCATACTTCCTCCATTCAGACCGACGTACACACTCTCCAGAAGCCTGAACACCGCATCGCTAGTACTAGAGCGAAAACGAAAAATACACAGATGTTGTAAGAAATACAAATTATTAACAGAGATGAAGATTCGTTGCTTCAGGTAGATGATATTATGTGGATTAGTTCTACTGGAGATATCACATTAAAAAAAAAAGTTCTTATCAATATACACATATCAAAATGGTCTAGGGAACAAATAGACCGGGAGATACAGATTTTCGGACGTGATTTAACCCAGTATGCTTTTTGGAGGGTATTCCGTGTGTGGCTAAATTCACCAAAATGTTGCACCGCCACGGATGCGGTGATTAAAATTCACTAATGCCAATGCAAAACCACAGCTTGCCAAACCCTGTTTAATTTAACAACACTGCATGCTTTTTCGACCATTCCACCACAGTGCCTACACCAGCTGAATTTAGCCACATGTGGATTACGGTATACATATTCTGTTATTGATAAATCATAAAGTAAACAGTCATCTCTTCATATATCAACATCAATTAACAATTGTTTGTAAATGAAGCGTTTCGATACAATTTTACCCAGGCTGCGCTGAATCCACAATAAAATTCGTGTAAAATGTGGCAACCGAGAAATTAAAGGAATACCGTTTGCGTGAGCCCAAAAGGTGATCATGATCAGGTGTACTTCCATTTCAAAAACGATTTATTCGCATTTCTGAACACGCTGCCATTAAGAAGTATACATATGACATACCGTTCGCGCATGTCCAAGTATACCTCACAATAAAAACATCTAGTAGAGTTATTCAACAAGATTCCGTTATTCAAATCAGTATGGAAACAGGCAATGGAAACACCATTGCCCGTTTCAAACCTGTTTTGAACCAATGTCAAAAAAGTGAACGCGAGAAAACGGCTTAGATGTTTTTCTAGTGTTTCAGTTCAAATTAAAAATACTATACGGCGCTGTGAAAATTACTTTGCAAGCTACTTCTCGGAACTTAAACTCTCCCAATTGGTATTCCACATTATTTTAGCGAACTTTGTAATTATAATAATAACTAGCTGACCCGGCGAACTTCGTTCCTCCTCTGAATTATTAAATACCTATTAAATGTTGTGTTAACGTATCTAAAGTGCGTTTTTTTTTTTAAATAAAAGTCAAAATGACATTATGTTGGCAATACAATGTAAAATTGTCAATTTTTATCTAGAAAAGGCTTGTGTTGCCAACATAGTTACTAAATTTTTGAATTGAATGAATGGGGAATTATCTTTAAAAAAAAAACAGATTTTATTAACTGAATTAAATTCAGTTTTTTTCGATGGTGAATTTGGCTTTGGTTGAAGAAAATTAAATTTTACTCTCTGGATCAGAAGTAACCTAAAATTAAAATTTTACATCATCCCTTCTCAGGCATCTTGTGGGCATTATTCTTATAAAGTCTACCACCAAATAAATAAACTCAGGCACAAGAATGTTCAAAAAATGTAAAGAAAACAAAAAAAATCTCCAGCGCAGCCCTGTTTCATTTTATCTGCACTGCAATACTCCATTTGTTCTACTGTATCTGCACTATTCTATCTGATCTACTCTTTCTGCACCACATTATCTGATCGGAATAGTGGAATAGTTCTGTTTGGAATAGCTCCAGTTCCTTAGCAGTATTCTGTTCTACTGTATCTGCAATGAAATTACCGCACAACGGCGAGCTTCGTTCTAGGTAACTATCATATATGGCGCCGAATACAAAATGGTTGTGGTGGACTCATAACCTGGCTCTCTGCCACTCGACACCAGCCGGACGGAGCACTCCGAACAGTCGCCACGGAACACGGCTGTCAAGGGATGCCTAAGAGGAGAAACGGAACTTAGCCACAGAACGTCAATGGTCATTAAAAGTGTCTGTTTTCGGTGGACGTACGTCGGGTCTAAAAACAGCTGTAAGAAAGTGAGGTTGTGTGTTGTGTTATGATTGTTGGTGAATTGTTTATTTATTTATTTATCACTGGTTCAGTCATTTGTTTTTCCATTTTTTTGG